TCTTGTCCATTGCCTATCGGTTTCACCAGAATGCAAGCTCCATCAGACATGGGTTTTTACGTTTCATTTATCGCTGTATCCTGACACCATAGCACATAGTAAATCCTTAATACATTTGGACTAAACAGGTGTAACAGTATGTGTAATAACAAGACCAGAGACATAAGCCTGGCTCCTGGGTAGATTTTATATGCCAACAAAGGAGTAGAGGTAGGACTCTGGCCCATTCCATTTCTAAGGAAACCCTTTCTGGAGGGGGGGAAAGCTGTGTCCTTCCCATCCAGAGCAGAGCAAAGCCACTACCCCTCACGTAGGAAAAATACCCAGGACTCTACCCCTGGGAGTAATCAACAGGCAAAGGGCAACACACTTACTGTTCCCTGTGAGATAATTAACAAAAATGAGCCTCTGTTCAGGTGTTCTGGACAAAAAATAAAGATTCAGGATAAAGTTAATAAAGATGAAAATTTTAAAGCAACTTAAGGTTCTGAGAAGAAGTCTGATGGCTCTGGATTTCCTGGTGACACAAGAGATCTGGTTGTTTTGGAAAGATGGGGAAGGAGGTGTGTAGGGAGCCAAACATCAGAGGAGAGTGAAGGAGGTTTGAAATATTGATGACACAGAGGGGAGTAGAGCAGGCCAACCAAGCAAACACAGTGGGGCTGTGGGCCGCATGGAGGCCCTACAGGCACATAGCAGATGACCAAGAAACATCAGTTTACAGAGTGAGTGGAAGAATAAATGAGTGAGCAAGTGAAAAGAGCAAATCAACGAGTGGGTGAACAAGGAGGAGCAAGCAATGGGAGAATAAATTCAGGAGAAAGCAAGTGAGTGAATGGATGATGTCCCCGCTGTGTTCTCTGGTTGGAATCTTCTTTCTTACATTTATTAGCTGCTCATGTGTTGGTTCATTCAGGGTTGGGAATATGCCATTTCAGTGTGTTTTTTTAAAAAAGACTGGGATAGAGTTTAGGGTATTGGCAAGAGTGTTACTGAAACAATGGATCATGGAATATAAGCTGGACAAAAGGAGACATGAAAAAAAGATGGACAGGATAGAAAAAATAAGTCAACAGTTGAGGTGGTAGTCAGAAAATCTGGAAGGTGAGAAGATTATGCTTAAGGACTGGGATGCCCAAATTCATGGGTTTGGACCATGGGAGTGGGTGGCTGAGACAGAGAAGAGGAGAGAAGGAGATGCTAGGAACAAAGAGGACAGTACCAAGGCCAGAGACTGTGAGTCCCACGGGTGGACACTGAAACCACCAGGCAACAGCAGGGATTGGGGTGGAGAAAATGACTGTAATTCTTTGCAGACTCTGACATCTGGTGAGCATGACCATGCAGGGGGTGACTGTGCAGAACAGGATCTGAGCTAGAAAAAGGGAACTTCACCCTTCACGTTCTATGCTTCAGGACACATGAATTTTTTGGTGTTTTTCATTTACAATGAGCACATGTTGCTTTATAACTGACAAAACCCACAAATTTGGGGAAGAGATAATATTAAAGTCAGAGACAACAGTTTACGATCCAGAGAAAATCATTAATTTAAGAAGCACTAACAACAAATACTGCTTGAAACAGTTATTGCTGAGTCCAACACTGAAATTAATTTTCTTTTTCTTTCCTGTCACTAAAGAAAGGCTATAAGGAAGGTCATCTGGAATTTTGCTGAAACCTGTAACAATACTCTAAACATCCTAAGGGGAAAATGTCAATGTGCTAACAAGGATATTTACTTAAATGGATACAGGATGTCTCCTCTCCAAGGTACAGTAGCTTTTCAGCCCAGTACATACTTCAAGGGCTAGAAGATCTCCTGAATTCTCTATCCCTCATGGTAACCACAGACTATGTTCACATTCTCCTAAGGGAACCAAAAATGTAGCTTCTTCTATCTTGTTTCCTTGGGGGATGCATAATTTAAAAATGCTTTTTACAGAATTCCATTATCTTGGGATATCCTGGGAACTACTAGAGTTGTAGATAATTTTGGTAGAACCTTAAATTTATGATGGCTCCCATTGCCAAGCCCACTGAGAACCAAATTACCAAAATAAATGTTAAGACATTCAAATTTGAATAGAAAATATAATGTTTTATGAGGTATAAATAAAAATAATGTAATAAAAATGATTTAGTAAATTCAATGCAAAGACCCCAGAAGCACCTCTGCCAAAACTGAGCTGAATGTGTTACATTTGACTACACACTCCCTTGTCAAATGTCAACTTCACAAAAGACAAGGAACAACTTCTTATATATCCGCAACAATGCCTCTAGTTATACTGAAATAACAATAGGCAATTACAGTGCCCATAATAACACTGAACGCTGACGGAAAAAGTTAGAAATTCTTAAACATATATAGTATTTAGACACTCTTCTTCAATATCTTTCCTTTATAGGAACCATACAATTTCTGCCGTCAAACATAAAACTGAGTGGCAGCAACACCATGCTGGAGAGAAGACCCAGCCAGATTATTTACTTACATTTCCCCAGCTGAACCTTCAGAGTCCTTCTCAGGGCCACCCTTTTGGCTTATCCACTCAATCTGTGACTCACTCTTTTACTGATCCTGACCCTCTGTCCAGCTGTGCAGACATCACCAAAGGCAGCACTCAACATTTCTCACCTGTCTACTGAAACCCTTAACTGGCTGTCCTCTCTTCAATCTGGATCCCAGCCGACCTACCGTCTATTCTGAATCAACAGCCTAATAAAAGGCTTCCTTAGGTCAGGTTCAAGATGAATCCTCTGTCCACCAAACTATGCTTAAACCTCAGTAATATCATGAATGTTGTTTGAAAGAGCAGCTTAATCAAGGATTCAGAGTATGAACTGGCTGGCTGCCCCCCGATCAACCATGTTGAATTGCTTAATTTCTCACCAATGTTATCTAAACTTTTAATACTAAAATGAGTCGAAAAGTAAGCAGAAGGATACTAAAGGCCTTCTATTTTCATGCACATTCACAAAAAAGAAAATTAACAAAGTTAGGTAGAATCTTGATTACCTAAATTATTTTTACTATAGTCCTTTTTCTACGTTTAGAAAGTCCACCTTAAATCAAAGAATCAGAAGTACTATGTTTCTCAAAGACGTGTGGGGGAAAGAGAAGGCCATTTATGTAGTGATTTTAAATGGTGGTTACATATGGTCTTTCTTATCTTTTTAAAATCTATTTTAGGTTCAAAGTTAAATGTTTTTTCCTTCCAGAGAAAGGATTATATCTACTGCAGGTTCAGGTCACCAATAGCCTCTACCCACAGGTTTGGATTTGCATTTTGGTAGGAACGAACAGAAGTCAGAGGAAGATGAACAAGACGGCAGAGTAGGAAAGCGGGGGTCCCAGTACCGCAAAGCAACTAGGTGGGGTAAAGGGTGGTGCTGACTAGTTCTCGCTCACTGTGCCCCACAGGCGGCAGCCAGGGTTGCTGTCATAAAGCCTTTTTGCTCAGGGATGCTTGTGTTAACAGCAGCCATTGGTCAAAGGGGTGGATCTGAAGGTAAGTTTGGGGGAAGGGGAAAGGGAGACAGAGGGGTAGCAAGTTATGCAGAGAAAACATATCTCGACTGTATTCTCCAATTCTATGTGTGCAGAGTAAAAAAAAAAAAACAATTCTCAGACATTTAAAATGTGTTTGAGATGATGGGAAAAAGAACACATGAGGGAAAAAACAAATTCCCACAAATTCCTTACTGTGGATGCAGCAGTAACACTGTACTTCAAGCATTACAGCTTTTTTTTAAACTGACATTCTGTAATATATCTCCCCATACTAAAATCCACATTTAATAGTGGCTATTGGGTGTAAATGTGAGACACCTAACATTTCTAGATATAGTCAACCACCTTTAAATTTTTAAAAAATTGCCATAAAAATTGTAAGATAGTAAAAATGACCTAGAAAATTCATAACTGTATAACATTATGCAATACCAACAGCATAATTACAAGTCTTAAATAAGTTTTACAGCTATCAACATTAAATAAATCTTAGCATGGCAGAGAACTGCTACAATATAAGTTTAACATATTATGTGTTATCCTCACAAAAACTAAAATAGAAAATTAATTTCTGCTTCAAATACTGCAAAAGCCAGTCTCTGGTCTAAAGTTACTCAACTTCTGTCAGAAAAACATATGGCCCACCAAGTACACAGTTGATAATTACCCAAATGTAAAATAATATACAATAAATGACTAGACTCATGACATTCCAGGGAGGCTATCTCAACACCTTCCTAGCCCTCCAAATTCTCAAACACTACTGTGGTAGGCACTGCAGTCATCATACTATACCCACCTACCCTGGTTCTGTGCTCATGCAGTCTCTGGTTTTTACCTGGACACATGGCTGGGCCACAACCCCCAGCCTCCCTTGCACTAGTGCTCTAGCCAATAAGGTATGAGCAATAATGCAATGCATGTAACTTTTGGATTGTGCCACTGAAGCACAGGTTGCGTGTCTACCCTTCGGCCCAAGCACAAATGTGGCAGGTAATAAACACACCGTTTTGGACCACGCAGGTAAGACCGCACTCTTGGGATGGCAGAGCAACAAGACAGACTGTGCTTGGCCCCTTGACAACGTTACGAGCAAAGTCATCATGCCAACTCAGGTTTTTAAGGGAGAAAAACTGATGTGTCTTGTGTAAGTCACTATTATTACATCTCTGATATATGCCACCAAAACTGTATATTTTAATTTCCTCAGGTTCCTCAGCTATAATGTGGGGTTAATAATACCTCTCTCCCAGATTACCGTGAGAATTAAATGTTTTAAATTAAAAAAAAAGAAAAAAGCATCTATGTATGAATATTAGGCAATCTACTAGCCTCATTTTTTAGCTAAATAACTTGTTTCTTCACACCAGCCTTCTGGGTGGGCAAGTGTCAAAAGTTATGGAGCTTTGCAGGGACTTGAAAAATAGGTAAGACCATTCATGCTAAATTGTCAAATGACTGGTTCTGCTCAGCTGTAACTTACATGCTGTGACTGATGTTACAATGGTTATTCTCTCTTTCAAGTTTCTGACTACAGGATTCACATCTCTTCCAGCCATCTTCTGTCTTAATCCAACTCCATCCAGGAGATCTCCAGTCCTGACCCAAAAATGGCATAGTTCTCCTATAAAAAGGTTAATTTATGTTAAAAAGTATATATAATGCACAAGTTTCTTTTCACTTAGAACATTTATTCATTAACTTTAAAGATTACAGTTCTTAACATTTAAATAGCTGCTCATTAATTAAATGTTGGCTGGACAGTAGTGACAGTGACAATAACATAGTACTTTGACTGTACTAAAGTGATAAAATGGGGTAAGTAAAGGTGGTTTTACTAGCCTAACACTGCATATGCCATGAAAGGTTTACCAGAGGTGACATCCAAGCTCATACCTGAAAAACAAGCAGGGGTCAGTGAGTGTGGAATAAGGAATATAATCCCAAACAAGTATTCTCTCTTTGCCAGAAGTTTGGAGCAACCGAAAATGAAATGTACTCATGTTCAGCAACTCCAAGTAGTTCAGTTTGGTTGAAGCTTACAATAGATGAGAGCGAGCAGGCCAGAATTAAGGATGGAGAAGTCATTTAAAGCCTGATCAAGTCAGAGGAGCTGGACACTATTCTGAGGGCAATGAGGGGCCAAAAAAGGGATGTAAGCAGGTAAGTGATTCAATTAGATTTGTGGCTTACAAAGAACTCAGTATCACACTGGGAGAACGTATGGGGTGAGGGTCACCTGGAGGAAAGGAGTTAGGACTGGAGGCTTCTGAATGTTGGCCTTTAAAAGGTGAGAGCGTACAGTGGCAGAAGAAACAGAAGAGCAGAGACTGCAGAAACATTTAGGAGACAGAGTCAAACAGCACTCGACGACTGGCTGGAAACGTGAGGAGGAAATCAAGGAAGTTATCTAGATTTTGTTTTGTAGCTTCTGGTTCTGGGATAAGGCACACAGAAAGAACAGCAGGGTTTTATTAGGGGAGGAGAGATAAGGGATATTAATTTCAGCTTTGGACATGCCTGTTCAGTCTGAAATACTAGACTCCAGGTATAAAAATTATGACTTAAAAAATGATGCAACTTTGTGATTGACTTCATGAAGTTCATGATTTGATAAGAGCAAGACCTCGAATGCTAGTTCTTCCCATTGACTCGATTTCTGCTCCTCTTGGTCAGTGGTTTACAACTACTGCTGTGCATGAACATCACAGGAAGCTTTTTAAACATTCAAGTGCTTAGTCTCATCCTGGTCCAGTTAAATGTGAATATATGGGGGTGAAGGCTAAGTTTAAGTAGTTTTTAAAGGTCCACAGATGATTCTCATACACAGTGAGACTGTGCATGAGGCTAAAAACCACCTCAGATGTTCACAATGCTGACTGAAAATGTCACATCCCAGAAAGGCTCCCTGACTCCCTGTCCAAACAGCACCCTTCTGCTGCCTCAACACCACCCCTACCAGCCTAAGCCATTATCTATTGCCTTCATAGTTGTAAGGGCTGTCTGAAAAGATCAATGTGTTTATTATCTGTTTTCCTCCAAGAAAATGCAATGTCTCGTTCAGTTCTGTATTTCATTACCTTGAACAATGCCAGGAATACAACAGGAGCTCAGTAAGTATTTACTGAATGAATAAATATATAGATCCATGGTTCAGAAGAGAGTTAGACTGGAGAGAGAGAGAGGAAAATCATGAGCATTTAGATACTAATCAAAACCACACAAACAATATCACAGAATATGTAGAGAGGGAAATCAAGAGAGAAAAGAAAAAAAAAAACCCTAGGAAATATCACCATTTAAGGGACCAGCAGATAAAAGCCAAATAGGAAAACTGAAAAGGAAGAGACAAAAAGGTACAGAGAGAAGTAGGAAGTCAGGAGAAAAATGTATTTCAAGAAAGAAATGATCGACAGAAACGAAAATGTTATAAAAAAGCCAAGCATGACAAGAGTTGAAAATATACGTTGAATTTAGCTACAGAAAGGTAGCTGAATTACTCAAGCAAAAGTGGTTTCTGTAATGTGTTATTTTAATTTCATGTCCCGAACAGACTTAAGGGTATTTCATAATGTAGAATATTTATATCATAGAGAATAATGTAGAATATTTACGTCATGGAGAATAAATGAGAGATGAACATCTCCAAACACCACCTCTCAACTATATCTAGTATAATAAACAAAGAACCAACTATTAAAAGGGCACTTATACAATCCTAGAAGATACAAAAAAAAAAAGAGGAAGGAAATTACATAGACTTCAACAATATTCCTGGATCAACCACAAATGCTTAATTCTTGACTGGTGTAGGAAATGTATGATGAAGTAATTATTCTTTACATAAAGAAAATCTCAAACCTTGTTAAACTCACTTATAGTCAAAACATATCTTTTTCAGTCACATAATGATTTAAATTCTTGCTTTAGAAAATACTTTAAATATTCCTTAAATTTCAGCACGATTTTGATAAACTGTCTCACAGATCTGCTTCACAACTACTGAACATCCTAAAATGCAAAACTCAGTGGCCACGTTCAGTCAACCTAGAGTTATCTAAAACCGTCTCTAATAGCATACAGCTGATTTTATGATTTTCAAGAACATTCCCACCAAAGGCAGCAAAGACCATGAAGTAGCAGATAACTGTTTGAAGTAGCACCTTGAGTCTCATAAAACACATACAACAGAAAACGGCTGCCAGAACATCTCTGATAATTATCATCTCTCAATATCAGCTTGAAACTGTGGATTCAGAAATCTATGTTTAAAAAAAACCAAGTGGATAATCCTGGAAAATACTGCTAACAGACCAAATACAGGATTACTTCAATGACAAACATTTGAGCACCAACTAAATGTTACTACGCTAGGTGTTCCTGCCCTCAAAAGTGTGCAATTTAGCTAAGGAACTAAAAAAGAACAATAGCAAAACACACACAAATTCCATACAAATGTAATATAATAAAGTATGTTTATGTGTAGATATGTGCGTGTGCATGTATACATACATACACATTATGTCCACAATCTTGTAACTTGTGGTAAAGAGAGAATAACTAAATTTGAGCAGAAAGCAAATCAGTTGGGAAAGCTCTGACGAGAAACTAGGACTTGATCTTCGCCCTACAGTATGGTTAGATCTTAAATGAATGGAGAGGCAAGGCAAAAAATATCAATCATGGGAATGGTGGGTGAATAAGTATAAAGGTCAAAATGTGTGCCATGATTTGAGAAAAATAAGCAGAAAAGATTGGATAAAATGGAGAAAGTTTACGGGAGGACTGGTACATAAGCTGCAAAAATGACTAGAAGCCAGATCATAGAACAATATCAAAGAATATCAAAGGTGTTTAGACCTTATTCTGTAAGTAATCAAAAGTTTTTCAGCAACAGATTAGTGAGCAGTGTCGTTTTGAGAATAAAAATTTTCTAGGGCTTGTAGGATAGATCAAATGAAAAACATAGAGACAGAAAATAACAACTAGGCAACAAACATCTTGCCAACAGAACCTTATCTAGATGACTTCCTATGTACATCCCAGTATCCTCAGCTAACAAAATATTTTAAAACTTGGTAACACACAAACATTGTACTTATTTGTTGGGATACTACGCCCACTTATCATTTAATACACTTATCTTCTAGTTTCACAATCTCTAAAACATTTACATAAAGAGCCTGCCTAGTGTTTCCATTACTATAACCAATTCTTTTACAACTACCTAAACTCTACAGATAATTCATTTTAGCAACTCAGTGAGAAATGAATAGTTTGGTCTGAATTTCTCAGCTGCTAAGTTTGATTTTGTAAGGGTTGAAAGGAGTGAAATGCAGCCATAGAAATAAAAAAATAGTCCATGCCCAAATTCTTTATTTTCAACACAGAGGAAAAGATTTGTTTTTCTGAAGATATGTGTACCTCACAGATTTGTCATGGTATGCTCTTTGGATCACAATGAAGTTTTATCTTAAAGCATAATCTATACAGCTCATGAACTAAAGCACAAACTCTGGATGCAGATTTAAAAAAAAAACAAAAAACAAAAAAAACAAAAAAAGACAGGTTGCAATTTAAAAGGTCTGGGGTCTGGATCTCAAATTTTCAAAAATACTCCCAATCTGAGGCATCTGAGTTTATAAATCAGAAAACAATGTTACTAAAGTTTTATAGAATGATGACGACCCACTGCTTTCAATGGGAATGTATTTGCTCAGCTAAAAAATAATGTGAATTGCTAGAGCTTTATACGCTTAATTAAAATTACCTTTGTTTTGGGAATCTGCAAATACAAAAAAACTAGAAATTACTCCTGAAAATTATTAAATTTTTAAGAGCAAGCACTCAAAGGGTGTAGCTTGTATAATTTGCAAATTTTAAGCACATTTTATGCCAATTTATTTCAGAGAGCCTGCAATGATGAACTACTTTAAATCTTCCCTTAATTTCTATTTCATGTGGTAGGACACGTGGGTGAGGTACTTCAGTAGAAAAGGACTTTATGAAGTTCATTTGCTGGTGGAAACTCTTGTCATGAGAGACTCAGAACAAAAAAAGGTATTTCCTTCAACAAGCATATTTTTTTCTTAACAATAATAAAGGCAAACATTTATTAGAGCCTACTGTAGGCTAGGCATTACTCTAAACAATCTACATATGTTGTCTCATTTAATCCTCACACTGTCTTCCAAGGTAGAAAACATTATTCTTGTTTTACAAGTTTAATTACCTCTTTTATAGACGAAGACACGGAGGCAAAGAGTTTAGCAGAGCTGGGATTCAAACTGATGGAGTCTCACTCCAGGATCCATGCTCCTAACCACTATATGTTTATAATAGCAGCTCCTGAAAACCCTATAAAAACAGATGCCATTAAATTATAAGCTTTCTAACATTTTTTAACCGTCTATTACATATCACTAATATGATCTCAACTAATGATGAATCTAAATATAAAGACACTAAAACAAGGAAAACAAGATAGGAAAGAAAACTCCAGTCCATTTCAAAAGACCACATGTGATTCCCTATTTGTTTTGCTTATAAGTGTGGACAAATTTGATCCAGAAAGGACATCAAAAGAATGGCAAACTGAGGGCCGAGAGTCAAAAATAAGATTTACT